GGGGCGGGCCCCAGCCATTTAAATTTAAATGAAGCCGCGATTATTTTAATCGCGGCTTCATTTCCCTTTTCCGATCTGGCTAATCTACATGCCTCCGTCGAAGGAGGCATGTAGTCTAGACACACCCTTGGAGGCAGCAAAGGGCTTCCCCCATCTTCCTGCAAAACAGCAGAGGGTTCGTCCGTCGCCGCACTGTTCCCCGCCCATGCCCCGGATGCAGTGCGGGTCCCAGCAGACCCGTCACAGCCCCCCGCTGGAGTATTTCCCGATACTCCAGCATATCCAATAATCCGGCAACACCTAGGTCCCAAAGGTGCCGGATTATCGGAAGTCTACTGTATTTTGCTTTTGTTCTTTCTTTAATAATTTAGAATTGGACTGTTGCATATGCAATTGGTGATTATATTAGGTGTTTTCCACATGCTCATTTGTGAACAATGTATGACCCTGATCCTCCTAATATTTAAACACCTCCATAAAAGTGTTCCCCATGTGTAGAGTTATGCTTGTGCTTACTAATATCAGGCTTAGGTCCAACAGAGGTATACATTTTGTTTCCCCATTCACTGAATGTAATGGAAAGGATCGAAAAGTGTGCATAAAAATGACAGCGTACAGATCTAATTTTTTATTAAACCTTTCCTGACTGCTAAGCAACTGGGAAATAAAACTAGAAATACATAGTTTTTGTTACTTTTTAAGAAACAAAGCAGAGAATACCTTATGTTGCAAAAATCTTGCAGTATTAAAAGTAAATTATACCTCTAAATCTGGCGTGCGGAACCTTTTTTCAGTTGGGGCTCACTGACCTATATTAAAATCAGTTGCAGCCACACACAAGGGAGAAGTAAGAAAACCAAACCAAAAAACAAGACAAAAACCTCACTGACTGGGCCCCCACTCGCACAACTCAGGGCATCGGAGTTCCACTCATGCTCTGACCCCACTGAAGGAGAGGGAGGCACTGAGACATGGGGCTTCCCTCCACAGCAGGCAAGCAGAATGTGGGGAGGCTTGGAGACTTGCCACTTGAGTTGTCACTTGAGGCAGGGGGTGCAGAGGGTATGGATGGTGACCTGGGGAAGGGAATTGGAGTGTAGGAGGTGTTGGGGTGCCAGAGGCAGGCACTGGCTGGGAGGAGTTTGTGTCTCCTGGCCAGCAGGCTGCAGCACCTCCAAGGAGCTGCAGGGACTGTGCTTTAAACTGCGGCTGCTGCCTGTGCCCGAGGGCCCTGGCAGGGTGGTCCATAAGCCGGAGCTTGGCAGGCTGGAGCCAGCCCCTGGGCCATATTTTGCCCAGCCCTATGCTACACAGTACACACATTTTACTCTCCCGGTGTACATGCTTTAAAATTCAGTATCTAATTTATTTACATATATCATATCCTAGCATACTCGCTGAAAGCAGAACAGAAATAAAACATATATGTATAGCTATTTTAAAGACAATTCACTTAATTTTCAAATGTGCAATACATTTATTTAAATGTTCCCTTATGTATTTTGAATATCACAAATAGAACAAATTAGGATACATTCATACTGAACTTTTACAATTAGTTTTATTACATTCTGAGCTCGGGGCCTCTTCTTCTATTATTATGTAAAACACAAACTGTTACACTTACAACTATTAATACAGCTATTACTGACCCAGTTACTGCTAACACGATTATTGGAATATTAACACCGTCTTTGTTATCATTAGGATTATTAGGCACAGATTCTTTCGGCAGAACAAACAGAGCTGCTTGTGCTATATTAGACACTTCTGAGGTCAGGGAGGCATTATCAATGGCACGTACTGCAAAGTAGATTATGGTGCCATTTTCCATTGTGAAATTCTCTGGTTTAAACCAGAATGCTTCTTTGGTGCCGGCAGATTTAGGTGTCAGACTAGAGGTATTCACAGAAGTAGCATTATCAAAGGTGTTCCTCAGCTCCAAAAGACTTTCACCCATTTTTATTATGTAGCTTTCAGCTGGAAAAAGAGATATGCAAATCAGAGTGTGTTACTGTGCAGATTATATTATCTGGAAATGCAGGGAGAGTACAGGATTTGTAGAAGAGTTTTGTATTTTAATCAGAACTCCAATGATATTCCAAGACCATCCCTACCATTTTCCCCATCCTCTCCACTGACAGACTATTTAATTGACTACCATTCATTCTCTGACAAATCCTGAACAGGATGCCTGCTAGAACTTGTCTGTTTTACAGTTTAATTGGATCAACAGTCACCTGTTGTAGGGCATTCCCTCCCTTCATGAGCGCTATATGGTGTACAGCGGGGATAGTGCTGAAATGCTGGAATATTACCAGCACTCTTAGCTACTGCTGGACTGAGGAAAAGAAACCACACCCAGTAATTCAGGATGAATCTTTCACATGGCAATGCAGAGAACTGCTATAAAATTGCACCCATCCATACCTTCCCCTTCCTCCTCATCCGCCACAGACACTTTACACAGGTCTCTATAATACTAAAATAAGAACATAACTGTTGCATGAGAAAGGCATGATTCCTTACACTTGTCTCAGGTGATTATCCAGGTTAAATATAAGATCCAACAGTGCATTTGAAAGCACAACAATACAGGGATGTGTCCCTGCAATCCTGGTCAGCATTCCCTCTTGTAATGTGAGCAGGTTCTAAAAGCATAGACTAAGAGACAGGAAAATGCCTGCTCCATTAGCCGTTAAAAGCATTTGCGGAAAAGAGCGTCTAGATTGGCACGGATGCTTTTCCACAAAAGCACTTTCTGTGGAAAAGTGTCTCTGGCCAATCTAGACGCGCTTTTGCGCAAAACAAATCTCGGCTGTCTACACTGGCCCTTTTGCGCAAAACTTTTGCGCAAAAGGGACTTTTGCCCGAACGGGAGCAGCATAGTATTTCCGCAAAAAGTACTGATTTCTTACAGTAGGAAGTCAGTGCTTTTGTGGAAATTCAAGCGGCCAGTGTAGACAGCTGGAAAGTTTTTCCGGAAAAGCGGCTGATTTTCTGGAAAAGCTGGCGAGTCTAGACACAGCCTTTTAAAGAGTTTAGTATGAAGCAGTTGTCTGTGTGACTCTAGGTTGTCTGTCAACCTCTCTTGGCTTGCTAATGTACACACTGTAACATAACAGTCATGGGTCCTGGTTACACAACATACTTACAATGTGTATTATAGTTGAGACTTAGCTTTATTTCCATAAATCGACTAAAGCCTTGGACTATCCATGTTATAAGTGGTCCCAACTTATTTATAGTTGAAGTGTAGACAGGGGCTAAGTCTTTCAAGAGTCAGTGGAGAATGTGTTTTGTATTTAATTTGTTTGCCTTTGTAAGCTAGCAAAGACTAGTTGGCACAAAAATTTTGCATTTTCAGTGGTACATGGTTTGGGAATATTTCATGTTTCTCTGAGGGATTAAGAGGGATTCACATGAATGTCATATTGAACAGGAAATCTATTGGTTACACCATAGCCTGGTTTACACTAACAAATTTTAGAGAGAAAAATCTAGAGTAGGCCAAGCTATCGTGATGGTCACGTTTTTTTCAAAAGGGAAAGATACAATCTTTTTCCTCACATCTGTGTGGCTGGTTCATTGTACAGGCAGTCCCTGGGTTACGTACAAGATAGGGACTGTAGGTTTGTTCTTAAGTTGAATCTGTATGTAAGTCGGAACTGGCATCCAGATTCAGCCGCTGCTGAAACTGATCAGTTTCTACAGCGGCTGAATCTGGACGCCAGTTCCGACTTACATACAGATTCAACTTAAGAACAAACCTACAGTCCCTATCTTGTACGTAACCCAGGGACTGCCTGTAGATGGTACTGTTCTTAGTTGTACTCCAGTTGCTGGGAATCTATTTCAGTTAAAAAAAAAATCACACCCCTAACTAAAATAGCTATACTGGTACAAAATCTATGTGTAGACCAGACCAAACACCTATGGGAATGCTAATTTAGGCATAGAATAAAGATCAGGGATGACATATTGGAGCAGGGGGAGGAGCATGAAAGATCACATGCCACCAAATTCCATGGATGAGAGGCCAGCCAGCAGCTGCTGGGAGAACTAGAGAGGGGTGGCCTTTCCCCCCCCCACCTTACTGGCAGCAACTGGGGGGAGTGAAGCAACTCGGCTTTCGGCACG